TCCATAAATATATTGTGGAGATTTATAGGAGCAATGGAATTCTTTTAAAGCTTCGCATGACTCTAGCTAACCACTGGTGTCATCGCAGTCCACCCATACTGACATAGCTGTGATTCCAAGGGGTAACTAGATTTCTTCTATCTCAAACATGGAATTAGTACGATGTACGCTGGTGAATTACAGGTTCCAGGTTGGATTCAATTAATCTAACTGCATAAAATGTAAAAAAAGAAATCTTATTGGCATTGCACCTCCTTCCTGCCTCGACTACAGCGTTTCAGGTTGCACTTGATAATCGCTTCACGCCTGGCCTAATGCTCACGTTTCATGAATTTTCTTATTTTGAGAGTTGACTACTTATCAAGTAAAATAATGTATGCTACTGCTTTGCATTTCCATGTGTTTACCAATAGTTTTCCAAACTCTTACTTTATCCAAAGTAAAAAGCAATACTTTTTTTAGTCTTCCTGTGTTTTCCGCGGCTGAATCACCTTATATACCGCATATTGATGACATGAATAAAATATGCCAAAAACGCCGTTCATTTTCTCTTATTGGATTTGGATGAAAGGCACTATTTCTCAAAAGCCTCTTGATATTACAGTCAAATGTCAGTCGATTCTTCTGTGAAGACTGAAGAAGCGACATGTTAGGAAAAGATTCGAGTACAGAAATAGCATTGTGATTAGGGATCACGAATAGAAGCGTATCTCACATGAAAGTTTACTGTAGCAGCTGTTGCGAATCGCTTTTGGTGTATGTAGTGCTTTGTTATTGCATGTGCTTCCGCATTTCAGGATATTTTCGAAGCTTGTTTAGCATCTCTTGAAGAAAGGTGTTTACTCTGGCACACTTAAGCACATCAGTCTGTCCGTCTTGATCACTCTTGACTTCAATTATTTTGGCCATAGCATAAATTCCGTTATCTAGTCGAAGAAGTGAATTATTGAAAAAACTCTATAATTAACCAAAAAGTGATATATTTTATTATGATTTGCATGTCTGACATCTACGCTACAAACCTGCAAACGAGTTCAACTTAAAGAAGTTTACTTAAAATTTATAAAGGATGATATTTTAGTCAAAGAC